ACTGTGCACAGCTTAATCAATCCAGTGATAATATCCTTAGTGTAAGACAAAGGGAAATTTTCTAGTTCCTCTGAGACATGTAACACATCTGGAAGAGGAACTCTGGCAAACAAGAAGGCGAAATGAACACTCACGAGTCGCTGCCTTGTTTAACAGAATTCCTCTTCTAGAACTGTTAACATGGCTCAAAGAGGAAGTAGAAAATTTCTCTTAACTTACCCTAAGAATATTATCACTAAATGATTGGTGACAGGTTCCAACAGCTTACATATGGAAACAAATTAGTAACTCAGAAGGGACATTACACAAGTAGCCACTTTATTAAGTACATCTGTACACCTGCTAGTTCGTGCAAATATTTACTCACCAATCACGTGGCAGCACCTCACTACCTTAAAGCATGGTCAAGAGGTTTAGTTGTTGTTCAGTCAAAACATGAGAATGCAGAAGAAAAGTGACCAAGTGACTTTGACCGTGGAATGATTGTTGATGCCAGACGGGCTGGTTTGACTCTTTCAGAAACTGATGATCAGAGAATTCTAATACACAACAGTCTCCAAAGTTTACAGAGAATTGTGAAAGGACACAAAACATCCAATGAGCGGCAGTTCTGTGGGAGAAAACAATTTGTTAATAAGAAGTGTCAGAGGAAAATGGCCAAACTTGTTCAAGTTGACAGGAAGGAGACAGTAACTCAACCATACATTACACTGGTATGCAGAAGAGAATATCTGAACGCAAAACATGTCGACCTTAGAAGTGGATGGGCTACAACAGAAGACCACACTGGGTACCACTTCTGTCAACTAAGAACAGGAACCTGAGACTACAGTGGGCACAGGCTCACCAAAACTGGACAGTTGAAGATTGGAAAAACGTTGCCCTGGTCTGATTTCTGCTGCGACATGCAGATGGTGTAGTCAGAATTTGGCATAAACATTTGGGATGAAGTGGAACAGGAGATTCACAGCATGAATGTACAGCCTACAAATCTGCAATAATTGAGTGATGCTATCATGTCAGCATGGGCCAGAATCTGTGAGGAATATTTCTAGCACTTTGTTGGAACCATGCCTCGAAGAATTCAGACTGTTCTGTACTAAAAGAGTGTACCAAATGAAGTGGCCACTAAGTGTATATACAAAACACGAGAGGATCAGCAAACTGAACGAAAATAATCATGAAGGACCCGTGAGTAATAATATCAGCTGACTTTTAAGAACATAAGAAAGAAGGAACACTGCAACAGGCCTACTGACCCATGCGGAGCATGTCCATGTCCCACCCCCCGGATTATCCCAATGACCCACCCAGTCTGGTCATCCCCACTCAAGGATGTAACACTGTACCAGACCCAGCAGCACAAGCTAGTCAGGTCCAACTCACACCCACCCACACCCACTCATGTATTTATCCAACCTATTTTTAAAACTACACAACATTTTAGCCTCAATAACTGTACTCGGGAGTTTGTTCCACTCATCCACAACTCTATTACCAAACCGGTACTTTCCTATATCCTTCCTGAATCTGAATTTTTCCAACTTGAAACCACTGCTGCGAGTCCTGTCTTGGCTGGAAATTTTCAGCACACAATTTACATCCCCTTTATTTATTCCTGTTTTCCATTTATACACCTCGATCATATCCCCCCTAATTCTACGTCTTTCGAGAGAGTGCAGATTGAGGGCCTTCAGTCTATCCTCATAGGGAAGATTTCTGATACATGGGATCATCTTTGTCATCCTCCTTTGTACGTTTTCCAGAGCATTTATATCCATTCTGTAATACGGTGACCAGAACTGAGCAGCATAGTCTAAATGAGGCCTAACCAAGGATATATAGAGTTGAAGAACAACCTGAGGACTTCTATTATTTATACTTCTAGATATGAAGCCAAGAATTCTGTTAGCTTTATTGCGAACACTAATGCACTGTTGTCTTGGTTTTAGGTTACTGCTAACCAGAACTCCTAAATCCTTTTCGCAATCGGTAGTATTAAGATCTACATTATTTAGTTTATATGTGGCATGGTTATTTAACTGTCCAACATTTAGAACTTTGCATTTGTCAATATTAAACTGCATCTGCCACTTCTCCAACCATTGCGTCAGTCTATTCAAATCATCCTGGAGTGCTCTAATGTCCTCATTAGAATGAATTGGACGGCCTATTTTGGTGTCATAAGCAAATTTGCTTATGTCGCTATTTATTCCCTCATCTATGTCGTTTATGTAAATTGTGAACAACAACGGGCCCAACACTGACCCCTGAGGAACACCGCTTGTGATGTGTCCCCATTCGGATTTCTTCCCATTTATGCAAACTCTCTGCTGTCTATTTGTCAGCCATGCCTCTACCCAGGAAAAAATTTCTCCTATTCCGTGTGCCCTAAGTTTCCTCGATAGCCTCTGGTGTGGAACTCTATCGAAAGCTTTACTGAAGTCCATATACACAATATCATATTCATTACCATGATCTACCTCCTCAAACAACTTAGTGAAAAATGTTAGTAAATTCGCAAGACAGGAACGCCCCTTCGTAAAACCGTGTTGAGAATCATTAGTCAATCTGTGCCTGTCAAGATGGCTACAAATTGCTTCGGTAATTATTGATTCCATAAATTTTCCCACCTATGGAGGTAAGGCTTATTAATGGTCTATAGTTCGAAGCCAAGGACCTGTCACCTGCCTTGTAAATAGGTATTACATTTGCCATTTTCCACTTATCAGGCACTATGCCAGTTTGTAGTGATATGTTAAAAAGATTAGCCAAAGGTATGCTAAGTTCCTCTTTACGTTCCTTTAACACCCTTGCAAGCAGTTCATCAGGACCTGGGAATTTCTCTCAAAGAACTCAATAAATCAAATGTTACGACAGGAAAATTACGGGGTGGATACTGAGAACCTTCAAAATAACGCAAATATTAGTAGTGACAATATTCAAATCGCTATTACTTTCTCGCTTAGAGAGTTAAGTTCTAAAGAGAGTTATTAGCCATTGAGATATAGAAATGGAACAAATACAGAGATCATTTACAACTCACAGTCAATAAAGCATTTAAATTGCTGGGAATGCCTCAGAGTCCTAAATACGTACTTACTAGAGCAGAGGAGAGATCCTTGAAAAAATATACGAGGAAACATACTCGAGAACCTAGTGCTAAAACTGTACACTGCCATAACATACTGGGGTGAGAGATACGAGAGAAAATGTAAAATAAACCCAGTGAAAAGTAGAGATACCGTGGGCACAATGAGAACATTGTATCAACATCCATGATCACACACTTTTTAATATTTTACCAAATATATCAGTAACTGCCGAAAAAGTATATAGAGGTCTTCAAAATGAAACTTGCTAAGAACTCCGACAAGTGCTGGATCAACCAGTCTGAGATGTGTAAGTGGACAGCGGGCTTCCAGCAGCAACAGTCCGATTGACCAGGCCAGCACCAGACTACTCTGGCCTATGACAGGTCTGCGGGAGTGGGAAACCCCTCAAAATCCATCAGAGGGAAACCAGGATCTTATGAAATGTTACGGATGGTAACGTTGACTTTCGAGTGCTTTTGTAAAATGATTTCCTGAAACTCTTAATACTACGACGAGCGTCAGCACCATCATGTCAGTTAGTCAACCAGAAAAATAAGTTATTCTAAACAGTTAAGTGGATAGAGCACGTCAATACGTGACGTTAAATTGAAGTCAAATTGCTTTATACAATGCCTATCATTCAATCCTCCCCGTCCTGATTTCCCAAGCCTAACCTAATCTTTTAAGCCAAGCCTTGCTCAGCCTAGCTTCCTTAACTACTCTTCCATGCCCTGCATAGCCAACATAATCCTGCACAACCAGCCGTGAGAAGCCTAGCCCTATCCCAAAGAGAGTGAGAGTGCACATGGGATATGCACGAGTTTGTGATGGAGTCAGCTTCTGGTATAGACAGGCGCCTGCTGCTAGGCTCTGTGATCGCTGGCCCGTCATGTTCATGGATCTCAGACCATCCGTCTATGTCGCACCACCACGCTGCTGCCCCACACTCAAGGCTTCCCCCCACACAGCCACACTGCTTTCGCATACCCCTGGCCCCACACTCCTGACCCCCACACTCACTTACCACACACGGTGGAAAAAAAATGAGAAAACAGCTTTCATTGCCTATTATAAAAATCGAATATTTAGCGAGGCTTGGAATTCTTGGGACATTTACCCTCCGTTGGCTTTAATTAAAGAGACGAGGATTAAATTTTACCATATTATTACTCATTTTATCCCTTCATTATTTTCATGTTTTGGAAGATTTATTTACTTTAAAGTGAACTATAATAACAGACTCAGCACGAAGGAACATTTGACCGAAATATATATAGGTGATTTAAAACAGTTTAAATTAAATCCCTTCGCTGATTATTGAGGAGCGCTACTCGCACTACATGTGGCTACAAGTGCTTGAACTCACTCAGGTCTCCATTCAATATTCATAGTTGTTTTATTCGTCAGGAAAAAGGACATGTGTTTCCTGACAGGATCTTTGTCATAATTTGACCTGCTGGCCTGACTGTTTTTATTTATGGTCTGAATATTACCTCTTATGCAAAATAAATATTAGAACTTTTTTTATGTAAATGCTACCAGATTATTGAATATTTGCGTAAATTAATGTTAAATAAGATGGTTTACGAATAGACTTAAAAGAGTCTGACTCCGACAATCTGATAGATAATAATGATTTGAATCTATTACGGGAATTATCTGCAGAAAATCTTCTCAAATTTAACTAGATTTCCACCAACCATAAAAAATAACCAAAATGATTCGTTCATTTTTTTTTCAATTATCACTGAATAACAATGCTCAAGTGTCGGATAATTGTGTAATCATCCTGCATCGTAGCGAAAATATTTATTTGCCGGCCACAGATCAAAGTTCTCCCATAATACTCAATAATACAGCGACCAACACTTTAAATCATTGGTCAGGAAGGAAATTTAAACTTACCACTTGATGCAGTCCAAAACCTGTAGTACAGTGTTTACTCGTCAGTTAATGCAGTGTTCACTAACACAGGTGGTATGCAGTGTTCACTAACAGGTGGTATGCAGTGTTCACTAACACAGGTGGTATGAAGTGTTCACTAACACAGGTGGTATGCAGTGTTCGCTAACACAGGTGGTATGCAGTGTTCGCTAACACAGGTGGTATGCAGTGTTCACTAACACAGGTGGTATGCAGTGTTCACTAACACAGGTGGTATGCAGTGTTCACTAACACAGGTGGTCCATGGGTTTTATCCGCCATCAATGCTTCACTTTTTTTCAGTGATTATTTCCTATACACTAATAACCTGAGATATTTCATTCACTTTTCATCACTGTTTCACAAATATTAACCGAAATTCAATCATTATTTCATTTCTATTGTCTGTGGAGGATTGAGATGGTTTATTAATTGGAGTTTAAAAGCCTATCGACTACACTAGTGCCATTTAGGCTGCTCGCAACGTACTCTCCACCAAACAAAAATACTTTAATCCTTAATATAGGGATTATAACAAACTTTTATCTCTATATACGCCGAGAGGAATACAATTCTCGGTGTATGTATCATGCAGATAAATTGTTACCCCAGTAACTGATATAAACATGGATAGTTTCGTGAGGTTGTTCCTCCCTTCACCACTGTTGTATGTATACTACTGCCTCTCCTGGTTGGTTGGTTCGCTGCGCTTCAAGTCTGTAGATTACTCAAAGTGTCATTTAGGTTCCGTATCACTTTTTCAACACCGGTTAAAAATACTTTGAACCCTAAAACAGTTATCAAACTCAGTGTATATACACTGAGGGAGTTACACATCTCCTTGTACATACCTGTCGTTATGTCCTTGTTTTAGTTATTCAGGTTTAAACCTGTCGAATAAGCAAAGTCATTAAGGCTGGGGATCGCTTGTACGCCATTACTCAGCGACACCCTGTTCATACAAAGCTGCTCTTAAGACATACACGTCAAGAGATATACATTCAGGATATATACTAATTTACTTCCTCTGTCATCTGTGAAATTAACTATTTCTATACACTTGATTAATGTATTTCGTTTTTCATCAACATTAGAATTTCATTATACTAACTAAAGGGCAATTTAGTCATCGATTAGTTGTATTTCATCACTGTATGATAATTTCATTATACTAACTAGAGGCTTTGTTATATTGTTGTAAAAAATAAAAATAATATTAGATGGCCTAGTCAGGTCATGTTTGGTTACATGTTAGGTCATTACAATCTGTGTTTCACTGACCGACGTCAGAATTCCACTGGTTACATTTATTAAAAGTTCTTATTTATCAGATTTCCGTTGATTTTAATTATTATTTTGAGCCAGATTCCAAACATTATTTTTTTAGGTACATGCTGCTTCATTTATTCATACAGTTTTTTATCAGTAAATAATATAATCAATTTAAACGGGGCAAATTTAAGTATAGTATTCTTGACGTGTGTACACTAAGAATAACAGTGAATGTACACAGTGAATGATAGTGAAAAGGTGAATTGTAACATACTCCTAGCTGCTAAGAGTATGGTCATGCACACATATAGGCTGCCTCCCGGTCAGCGAACCAACTGATATATTCGCGTGAAAATATGTTTCACTTAGGTAAATTCCACACCACCATACTGCCCTGATGGTTAAACCACACCGAGAGGTGTATGTCTCATTGCTTATAAACCAAGGTATCTCTCAATATTTAAAAACATAGGTGTTTATCTCTCAGTATGTATACACAATGAGTTGTCAAAGTCTCAGTGTGTGTGTAATATATATATATATATATATATATATATATATATTATATATATAATATATATATATATATATATATATATATACCGAGTTTCCATTTATTCCTATGTTAGGGATTGTAATAGCCTTTACTGGTGGTGACCAGGTTACTGGCTACCACACTCCACCACAATAATTCAGCATGGGTCATACAACGCTGGCGCCCCAATAACAGCTAGTTCTAAACTGTCTTTACTTCTGTCAAGAGTACAACATTTGGATCCAAGAACTTGAATGGTATATTCATCATGCGAGTCATCTTACTGATTCATGTAATCCATCACAGCAGAGGACACACACATCCAATTTTCCAGTGTGTGTGTTGGGAGTCACTATGTCAACAAATGGAGTCGGGGTGAGACGAGAAAAGGTCCCCAAGACTGTCACCTGCTTCCTGTCATGACGTGTATGGAGATGAACACGACATGTCTGAGCCTGTGTGTGTGTGTGTGTGTGTGTGTGTGTGTGTGTGTGTGTGTGTGTGTGTGTGAGAGAGAGAGAGAGGAGGAGAGAGAGAGAGGAGAGAGAGAGAGAGAGAGAGAGAGAGAGAGAGAGAGAGAGAGAGAGAGAGAGACAGAGAAAGTTAGTTTTAGAGCTGCCAGCTAGCAAAGGCACTTGTCAACAGACACTTGCCCTGTTGTACTCACCAATATGTAGCTGGCAGGGGTTGAGTTTTGGCTCCTGGTCCAGCTGCTTTGTTGGTCGCTACTGCTTTCGAGAGCCTTAACTTAGCCTTTCTTAAAGCTATGCATGGATCCTGCCTCTAAGACTCCATTTTTCAGGGCGTTTCCCTTCCTGACTAAGCATCCCTGAGTCATCTGTGATTTCAACTTCAAATTGTGCCCTTGTGTTCCTGTTTCCCGCCTCCCAAACAATCTGTCCCTCTGCACATTAACAATTTTTCTTAGTATTTTGTACGTTTTCATCACATCACTCAAGTATATTCTTGTAATGTCATCAGGCTGAGTTCCCTTAACCTCTCCTCATTGGACATACCCTTTAGCTCAAGGACTAGTTATTATGCATGTGCTGCAGTAAAAATATTGTATAAAAAATGCTCCATAGTTCCGGGATTTATACTGAAACTGCCAAAAAGAGACTTCGAAAAGGATTCTGCTCTTGACTCTCGCCCAGGCAGGTCACAGCAGCTCTCCTTACTTACTCTGTCTCCCTACGATCCCCGTTGGGGAGGGGAACCTTTACCAGCGTTGTCATCGCCTTGACTTACACGATGAGCTACGCAAATCGTGTAAAGATCAAACCAAGAAATGGTACCGTTGATGATTCAACGAAGATTGCTCTTGCAACTGTTGTTCAGGGAGCACTGGAAGTAAAATTCAACACCATATTGTCACTGAAAGAAGCATTCATTGTTGTGCGTCACGATGATGCTGAAGCAGAGAAGCTACTCACTACAGAAGCCATCACTACTCTTACTACTCAAGGGTTTACTGTTACGTCATCTGCCCTCAGGGCAAGGAAATCCTAAAAAAACTGGACAAGATTCTGACGTCTCAAACACCTGCTGAACTCAAGTCATCCATCGAGACGCAAAATACTTGGGCTACTGTTGACAGCATTACAAAAATCCCAAATGCAACGTCCATGATCAAGGTCACCTTCACAGACGTGAACATGGCTGCCACTGCACTGAACGAAGGTCTTGCTGTCTACTACTACTACTACATCAGCCCTACCTACATTGAAGCAGAGAGATATCACTACATCCAACATTGCTGGAACTGTTATTCATACCATCACACCACCAAAGCATGTTCAGTAAAAGACAAGAAGTTTCTGCACTACATGTGGTAGTGAGGGACACCCTTCAGTTCCTGCACCGCTGCTGCTCCAACACAACCAGCGTGCTTAAACTGCAAGAGTAATGATCACCATACACTGGCAGCAAAATGTCCTACAAGAAAGGATATTTATGAAGAAAACACAAGAATGCAGCAAAGAAAAAACCTACTAGCAACACTCCAACGTATGCAGCAATTGCAAAAATACAAGCAGACACTACAAAATTACTTCAAGCATCTACCCAGCCCGCCTCCACCACCACCACTACCATCACTCCTCCAACATGTACGTAACGAAGATTCACTACTGTCTACTATACGCTCATATGCAAAACATGGCTGTACCTGGATCATTTAACTCTACCATCAACGAGTTACTTGCATTAAATAACATGCCTTCATTTACATTTCCAGCATCTCCACCTTCTGAAGAAATTCTCAAATTCACCAAAAACTTAATCGCCAACTCTTCTGCAGAAGTTCCTTCAACACCACCAACTAGTGACGTCAATCCAACAACGACCAATGAGAAGCCTCCACCGCCACCACCTCTCACTGAATCCAACCAATCAGAAGCCTTACCACCAGAAACATCTTCTAATTCGTCTACTGAAGTTGAAAACGAAGCAACACCACCTTCCTCTACTCCACCACCGCCTTCTCTACTTAGCTCACGTCGATTACCTGGAACACCATGGGTTTAAACACAAAGGACTCATATTCTACACCACGAGGCTGTACCCTGCAAGCATGACTCGCCTAGAACTCATCCAACATCTCCAAGACAACACTGTATCGTACCAAAGCGAAGAAAGACCATTCCCTACCTACAACCAGATACTCCACCAACTCCAAACCAACGATACTACTACAGCTCTCCCATAAGTGTGATACAACTCTCTCGAAAATAATTTACCGCACTGATAAACGGTTTAAGACCATAACCATTTCATCCTGCTTGCTGCCTTCTGACACTCCCAGCTCCTACTGCTGCCTTCGCCATCCTCTCCTAGTGAGCTAAGCAATGACATCAGTCAAGCCTCTCTATCTACGTCTCCAGTACTTTTGTACCACATGTCCCAAAGTGGTTGGGCCACTTGCCTTGATTCCTCCTCTTCCCCATCCTTTTCCAGTTATTTCCATCCTTCCTTATCCTTCTTCCTTCCCATCTTACGACAACTCTCGTCGTCCTCGATTCGATTCGATTCGACTGAAACAGGACGCGTATTATTCCTGGTCAGTCAGAGCGGCCAAGAAAGAGGAGAGCGAGGTGTTTTGTGCAGTAGGTGAAGCACAGCAGATATAGGTGTGTGATTAGTTGTGTTGGTGAGTTTTTTTTAGTTTATACTATAGGTAATCTTATGTGTGTTTAAGTGCTCTCATGTTTACCTTTAAGTCCCTAGTGTGCAGAGGCCTGGCTAAGTTTTGGGAGAGTACTCGTTTAGTGTTTTTACCTGTTGGTAGACAGACCGGCAGAAAGAAGAGGGGAGGGAGGTCATGGAGGCTCCCTGTTTATAAACGTTTATATATTTTTTACTCACTAGTAGAGGTGTGCTAGTAAGCTAATGCGAGTAAAGATGTTGGTTGCAGCAGAGTAGATTGTAGGTTGTATATACATTACTATTATATTTTTGTATAGGTGAGTTTTTGTATCCTTCCTTATAATAATAATGAGTAATTAACATTCCACATTTAATGTGAAGCGTACAAGCTGGACCTTGAGTGGTTTCTTTTTCTATTTTTAATAATATAAATGCCCCTTTAGGAGCCAGGACTTTTTATTTACGTTATGCAGTCAAAAAAGTCGTAACATGGTGGCCTGCAGGGAAGAATTATCAAATTTAGAATAATTTACATTTGAAAACTGGAGAGTCACTATTTAAAGGAACGATTTATATTAATAGTAATAACTTTTTTCAGGTGTAATTAATACAATTATTTTTCTGCCTGATTTTTGTGTGTGCACATTTGGTGATTTAGGGAGTTATTTAATAATTATAATTTTCT